GGGTCGAGGTCCGCGGTGCATCGCGCCGCGGTCCGCCGACGATCGCCTTTTCGCCCCGCGGTAATCTCAAGTCGGCCGAGTCGTTTGTCCATCGCGATCACCGCCGATTCCGCAGGCGCCAAATCTCGATCCGCTCGCTCCGCGTCTGCCGGGTTTCCGACGTCCGTCGTCAGAGTCGTCACCGTCGACCATCAAAGCGCACAACATCGCGCACTAGCCGCCGCCGTTTGTCGCCGTCCACCATCGCTCCCGCGGCCATCTCGGTCGGACCTCGCCGGCTGGGCAAGGTCGTCACTCTTCCGAGCAAACTCGCCTGTCGACGCTCGTCCGTCCGCGGGACCGGTCGTGAGAACGTTGTGGAGGTGACCAGTAGCCAAACGTACAAATTTGCACCCAATCGCCATCCCGTATCCTCCCCCCCTTGTTTTATGTGTCTCCTGGCAGGTGTATTTTTTTTTTTGTTCCACAATTTTATCTTTTTTCAATTTTTGTTAGCAGTTTTTTGTTGTGACTAACGTATTTCAAAATCATTATAATATTTATGATCGACACTTTTTTCAAATTAATAGTCTCATCTTCTCTTTTTGGAATTAAAAATTATGAGGTACTCATAAAATGTTAATATAGTAGCAACTTTGAGGTACGTGCTATTTTGCTCTGTTTTTTTTTTCCAAAATGATGTTCAAATTTTTTTTTTTGAACCGTATATTTAAAAATGATGTACATCTTTATGAAATGTTATGACTTAGTCACTACTATGTGCAACGTTTATTTCGTTAAACCAATAAAAATACTATTTGTGTACACAAAAATGTAGGTATTCCTTTTTTTCATATTGTGGAGTGTATAAATCAAATGTTATCGACTATGACGTGGCGTGAAATACTTTATCAAGCAACTACCTACCACCACTTGACTATACGTAATGGTAATATAATATTCAAGTTATTATTTTTCAAATATCTTTGATTAATTGATTGAAATATGCAGGTTATTGCAGTGGTTTTCAATTTATTTTTAAACCTCGCCCCAAATTTATCCCTGAAAATCTATCGTGACCCACTTGGTTTATTTACAAGATTAGTTCTAAAAACGAAATTTAATTACTATTATTTTAACTCATTGCTTAATTATTAAATGTAATGAATAAAGACGGCATACATCAGTGACTATTGTCGGCACTCGGCGGCACGGCATGTTGTATATTGTCGTGAACCCAGTTTTATTTTCGAACCACCAAGAATTAACCCACAGCCGACCAGTGGGTCTCGATCCACAATTTGAGAAACTCAGGGTTATTGCATATTGACTCGGACTGTTAACATCAGAAACAAAATGGCTGCTTGAAGAGGTATCACAAACCAGGCACGTATCTGGGACCATATCTTGGAGAGGGGGGCGATTAATTTTTTTAGGGATGGTCCAAATCCTCCATAATACATCTTTATTATACCCACCGGCAGTGCTGTAAAATATTTTTTTTAGTAATGTGTTCATTTAAATAATAAAGTATTGTTTAAATCGTTATTATATACTAAAATAGGTATTTGTGGGGGGCATCGCCCACATCGCCCCCCTCAAATACGTGCTTGTCACAAACATCATTTTTTTATCATCAAATATACGCTAACAAAAGTAAACAAATTAAAAATTCTCGCGCATATTACATACTTGATTAGTATATTGGTTCCTATTACTCTACCTTTTTTGTTTTTATCATCAAATATTTGATTGACAAGTGGTATGCATATATATGCAATAATCTTGTATTTTTCAATAACTTCGAAGACATTTCCATATTTTCAATTTTGTTCATCTTGCCAAGTCGGATTTTCAGATCATACCTACAGGCTACAGCTAGATTATTTTGTTAGCTCAGCTAGTAGTATAATATTATTATAAATTCCTCGCTCTATAATCTGTCAAACAATACACACACACACACACTCATAGAGTATAATATAATATATGGCGGTCAATAACTTCCGTCCGACGTCAATATCCCAAACCCAATCCTTGCTAATAGGAACGCGGAACGTGCGAATTCGCTAGGCTGCACGTAATATTGTCGGATAAATTATCGCCGTGCACCGGACTCATTATACGGCACGGACTAAGAAAAACATTTTACAGAGTACAGGCAGTAGGCACTTTAGGTCTTAATTCGGACATAGGTATTAGGTACCTATAAATTAACATTGTTAAGTAAATTAAATATAAGTATAAAGAAAAATGTATGTTTAAATTTCTACATAATACTTGATATTTCATAAAGAGCCAAGTATCTATTTATAGTCTGTTCTGTCAAAATGTTCAACTGATTTCTATTAGAATGTAAAATTTTTACGTATTTATGCAAGTACCTACGTGACTTATTTTCTGTTCTTTATATTATATTATAAAATAATCATTTTCATCGATCCAATAACATTTGAAATTAATTTTTTTTGTAAAACTCCTTCTGGAGTACCTAGCTATAACAATTTAAAAATTAAAATCGATGTACAATATTTTATCATAGGTAAGAAAAAGATAGATTAATTTTCTAATATAATAGAATAATTTGACCTCGAAAATATGTTTAGTCAGAATAAGTAATAAACACAAAGTTTTTCAGTAAAAAAGAATTGATTGACGGTGAGTATTAATTTAATATGACTTTTTTTCATTATGTGGAGTTTATAAATATGCGCTATTATATTACCTTAAATAATAAATACTACTAAATGTGCGCAAAAAATATGCAATACAAACAACAAAATATGAAAAAAATAACGGAAATTTACCAATTATTAATTTATTTATCATTAGAAATTATTATAGGTAGTTACTTAAGTTTTGAAATAATTTTAGGTCACTATCAGTACGGGTACACGACTGATATAGGCCATGTCTGTATATAACTAATAGAAAATACAACGCATTCAACTCTCGTTCGATGATAATCGCAAGAGAAACCTCAAAAAAAAAACCCAATAAAACCAGTGAATGACAGAAGACAGAACTTAAAAATTTGAACCAAATAATACGAAATTATGCTTGTCGTATTAGCGCTACCGCGTAATAATAATAATAATAATAATCGGTGTTTACTTAATCCGTGTATTTACTTTGACAATTCGATTGACAATAATCTAAAAACATGTTTACTAAAATATAAAAAATTTTGATTCAAAAACAGGTAAAATACAAAACATCTAAAAAATATCCAAAAATAGCACTAAAATCTAAAAATTTTCAAAAATATGCAAAATAAAATAATTTGAGCTCCCTTTATACCATGAAACATAGCTTAACATAACTTACTATGTTAATTCTTATGCATCTTATAAGAAATATGCAAATGCTATAAAATCCTAACCCTGGTAATTAGTCACTAATATATCAAATTCACATTGAGAATCTCATGTTGATTGATGCAACTTGGGTTTCCTTAACACCTAAATTAACTCAAATAAATGTNGGGTTTCCTTAACACCTAAATTAACTCAAATAAATGTAAAATGTAATCATAACCAGAAAGGTTCATTGATACAAAACACCTACATTTTCTTTCATCTCCCAAAACCCCATTAAATTTGGTCAAAGTCCCAATGAAGACTATTGATTAAAGAGGTAATAAGAGCCAAGGCCCAAGGGGTAGTTTAGGTTATCAACCTATCCCTCGAAATAATCACCTTGGCTTTTTACTAGGAACACAACTAATTTTTTTTATGAATAAATCTTAATAAGAGTAATAGGAGAAAAAATCATATTGATTTATAAAATGTTGGTACAGTAGACGAGAATAGTGCTGTCACTTTTTTTTCTATATTAGGTACAACCATTTTTTAAACAATTTAGTTATGATACAAAGTTTAAGTGTTTCTCATATAAATCATTACGTGATAGTTCAATTTGTCCTTGTATTTCATAAAATATATTTGTATAAATTTTTTTTTTTGCAATACAAACAAATTATACTAAAACTAAAAATTATAGCACTGAACTTTTATATATTTTAATTATTATTCCTCTAGACATGTCATTGAAGCCTATTGGTTTTGGTACTATTATCTTAAATTAAACACTGGATGATGGAAAGTAAGGCTTTCTATGGTGATGAACTGCTGGATAAAAATGTTCATAGGTTTTTTCCATAGCAATAACAGAGGCTGCTAATCCAAAAGCGATTGTAAGACCACGTTTACCGCGGAACCAACATTTGAAATATTGTGCATAACGACTACCACGACTTGGAGGATATCTCCAAACTTCATTCCTATGATTAAAACATAAAGACATAAGAGTTATTAAAACAGTCAGTAAACACAGTAAACTTACAAATAATTATGTGTGGACATTATTTATTATATTTTAAAACATAATATCCTAAACAAGTACATTAGTTTACAAAAATATTATCATCAAATTATATTTTACATAATATGAATAAATAAATGTATACAATGTAACAAGATAATATACCTAAAAAAAAATTAGGCGATAAAATATTTAGCCATATTCAATAATATTTCAATATAATTTTTTCATCACCTAGACACAAAGACGTGTGCTTAGGACAAGCTGGTTGACAAGCTTGAGCTTGGGCTCAACTTGGAATTTTTCGGAAGCTTTGAAAGTGAGTTTGAAATATATGCGTATAAATATGTTATATATATTAATTATTAATAATTATTACATATCGGTGGCGACTTAAGTAACGTTTTAAAACCACTCTCTCCACTTTCACAATGAAATGTATTAATACAATATCTTGTTAGTTTAATATTTAGATATTAATAACATAAGATTATGGCCCACCCATAATTTCAAAATAAATGTTCTATAATTATTGAACACTAACCACAACAAATTTGCGATTTTAAATGATATACCTAAATATTATATTGATTAATTTACATGGTATTAGATATATCTATATTAATCAGCTAATAAAATTGGTATTTATTTAAATGTGAAAAATGTTATTAATTAAGTAAAATAGTAAAATATTATTATGACATGCATCATTTGCTAACTACTTATTGCTAATTCACAAATGTTTTTTTCATTTCTATAAAAGCGGGTTTATATTTACAGGGTATTCCGAGAGGATTTACCCATTGAATTATCTCCTCGAATAATAAATAAATAATAAATCTGTTTTATTATTTGATTCACAGAGATAAGGACTACATACATTTTATTTTTTAATTTAATTTCATTCTTTGGTAAAAAAGTTAAAAATTTAATTTTTAGTTTTTTATTTTTGAAACAATTGAAGATATCCTTTTTTGTAGTTTATTTTTCTGAAAATGTTAACTTTTCAACATTTTACTTTCATTAATTTCATGATTTTTAAACATTTCTTTAGTTTATAGGTAAAGCCTCAAAAAACCACCTTTTGTCCAGGCGGTGGCCCTTGTCTATGGCATTAGGGTATATCCACACGGGCACCTGTATATTACCTATATTATTTTTTTTATCAAAAATGGATTTTTAATTACCAACATTTAATCATTAGTTTTAAATGTATAATTTCATTGTAAAACACTGCAAAGAAATAGTACCTATGCTTAATTTTTATCCAAATAGTTAAGTATGTGCGTTTGTACTGTGTTGCACATTTAATAGGCAATATACGTAAAATGAAAACTACCCATAATTAATTCAAAGTAACTTTACCTCAACCATGGATCTTTAAGTCCTTCAGTGGCCAAAATATTCTTCACCTTCACAAGTTCTGGTACGTTATCAACTTTATATATTCTGTAATCCGGTATTTTGATTTCATGTTCGTGATGGCCACCCATCGCTTCAAAAATGTTAGTAAATTTTAATTATTATATTGTACAAAAATAAGTGAAGAATTACTTACTTCTATAAATATATCAGGACCTATACTAATACTATTTATTTATAAAAAAATTCACGAATTATTGAGAAACCAGAGAAGCAATTCCGTGAAGGATTCAGAGCCCGAAGGATAACTAAAAAAAATTAGATAAAAATTAAAATAAAAGTTCAAGCGATTTGATAACAGAAACAGCTGAAGATTTTCTAAGGAGACTAAATAGCATAGAAGTGTTACCATGGTAGTTGTTGAATAAATACCAGGTTAATAAAGTACACCAATCTGGTATAAGCAGTTAACAT